TTTTGGACCTAGTTTGTCACAGATTTCGTCCACTTAATTGAAATAATGTAAATCTATTCATGCAATACAATTTGTGTGATATTTCATTAAAATGGCAAATTTGGAAAGCATCGGGTGAAAAACCAGGGAGTTATGGCAGAAAAACGAGATTTTTGAACAGTTCTTTGTGGTTTTTGGTTTTACGTAGGCAGGTCTAAAACCGCACTATCTTATTTCTTGCATGATGACATGTTTGAAGAAAATCGGATAAAATTGAGGAAGTTTTTATTTTAAGTAGTAAAAATCTGATGTTTTTCATTTTCTTGCAATTTTTGTATGAAGCCAATGTCGCAGGAAAACTATAAAGAACTCTACATAGACATTGTAACATGAGCTATGTTTTACATTAAGTGCATCCAGTAAAAAAATTGTTTGTGTGTAACTTTGGCTTGGTTTTTGCAGAAAGTCTTATCCACCTTTAGTTTTATCGATCTTTTTTTGCCAAATCCGAGAAAATGGAGATTGATAAATTGGTCTTAACCTATTTGATAAATTTGCAACATGTGTGTACAATTTCATCGAAATCGTTCGAGAAATGTGGACGTCCATAAATAGCATACATACACACACAGACAGACACACACAAAAACACACACACAGAGTCACACACGAACATAGATCTTCAGTTTTATAGCTATAGATAATAGATCGAAACTTCTAATTAAATTAATTAACCCATAGCTGGGTGTAGAAGAGGTGGATTTACACCTCTTCAAGGGTATATGCGCGCGTGAATATAATGGACCCGACGGGAATAGGAAATCGACTCTCCGATTTTCAATCACGAACTGTTATCCACCCACCACCCACACATCGAAGCTTACAATACCTAATATTCCCAAGTGTTTACCCAGCTAGATACTGGCCAAGTTTGGCGTTGGTTAAATATATATGAAGAAAAGCTTTCAGCTGGTTACAAAGTGATAATTATTTTCAACTTGAGGAAATGGAATATCATAAGCCTTTTACTTTCGGAAAAGAGATTGTAGACGACAAACTGCGGAAATTCATTACACTTGATTGTGATTGCAAATAAAGTCAATATTGAAAAATATACAGGACTTTGTCAGTTAAATTCCATATAATTTGACATATTTTCTGTATTCATATATTTATAGAGAGAAAGAATATAGATATAAACAATAAAATTATAAATAAAATCTAATCTTAAACAAAATACAGTGTTTGGTCATTAACCAAACACACACACACATTATTTTATATGTTTATATATATATATATATATATAGCATAATGAGAAGCCACGTATACTTTCTTAATATGTATATATAGAAAAAGTTTCAAATTGAAAATTATAATGTTTTATTTTATGAAAGTATTTATTTATTTATATATATATTTGATATTTCAAATTGTCCTCAATTTTTCATCAGAAATAACTGTTTGTTACAAATAAATTAAAATTACTGTTTGTTAGCAAGTAGCGTCCTTCGCGAGACGCGGACGTCACGTGATATGGAACGTCACTGTTCGGATATTCCTAACTTAAATCTAACTGTCAAAAAAAAAATTGCTTAAATATTGAAATATTTATAAAGATTTAAAACACCTAAGTCCCTATTCAAACATACAATTTCTACCAGTCTATACAACAAACCCACAAACCAACATAAATTCCTGCACTTTAACAGCTGTCATCCCTTTAAATTAAAAAAATCTATTGTATACAGCTCATTTCTAAGAATCAAACGCATATGCTCAGACCATTTAGATTTTCTATACAACATTAATAACTTAACAAAAAAATTCCTAAAATGCAAATACCCAATAAAAATAATAAAAGAAGCACTAAATAAAATTATTCTGGTAAATCGTAACACACTTCTCACATACAAGAAAAATAAAAACAACAATCGGATTCCCATGGTTTTTAACCACAATCAATATTCCCACACACTTATTCACAATTTAAAAAAGGATTACAAGAACCTCCAATTAGACAACAAGATCAAAGACATTTTCGATAAACCACCTATAAATGCAATGAAACAATCACCTAACTTATCAGCTATCCTCACCTCTACCAAATATCTAAACAATAGAAACCAAACAGGAAATTACAAATGTAACAAACCTCGTTGCTTAGTTTGCAAACATTTAATAATAGCTAATACATTTTCCGTACCCAACACCAATATCAGAATACAGCCACCTAACCTCACCTGCGATACCCACAACGTAATCTATTATTTATTCTGCAACTTATGTCCTAATAGTGGATATATTGGTGAGTCTGGAAACAATTTTAGATTTCGTTTTAATAGCCATAAACAAACAATACGTCAAAACAACCCTTATTCCCCATAGCTAAACACTACAATCAATCAGGACACACATTAGAAAACTGCAAATGTTTATTAATAGATTCCGATTTTACTTCCACATTCACACGCAGAAAAAAAGAAACATATTGGATTTTAAAATTAAATACACATAAACTAGGGTTGAATAGGGACTTAGGTGTTTTAAATCTTTATAAATATTTCAATAGTTAAGCAATTTTTTTTTTTTTTTTTTAGATATAGTAAAAAAATTTTTTAAAATATTTATATATATATTATATTACTTATATATATATATATATATATATATATTATATTACTTTAAACATTATATTTAGTGGAATACACGTGTTTGCGTAGACATTACACATTTTGAAACTGTAATTTATGTTTGTGCATTCGAAAGTTGTAATAAATAATGTACTTTATATATATATATATATATATATATATATATATATATATATATATATATATATATATATGTATGTATATTTAGTTGGATTGATTTTGTGACGCTGGGTTTCACGCTTTTAAAAAATTAATCAGTTTCTGTGACGAACGCAAAAGCGTGAAACCCAGGGTCACAAACTCACATCAATCCAACCAAATATGTTAGCTCTATCTCTGATATTGAGCGCTTTCTAATAAGTACCGCGCATATAATATATAAATGATTATATATATATGTATATACACTTTTCACGCACGCACACACACCTATATATATATATATATATATATATATATATATATATATATATATATATATATATATATAACGTCATCCACAGACAGACTGTTTCGCTGTTTCACAGCTCATCAGTGTGGCTAGACATCCGGTTGCCTCTAGCTAGGATCAAAATCCAACTGAATTGGTGTCAGTCGGAGATTCTAACCATTAAGCCGTCGGCGCACGGTAGGGATGAAGGTGGATTTTAGCGTATTTATTTTAGAAACACGCCCAGTGACCGACAGTGACTCAATTCGCTTATATATATATATATATATATATATATATATATATATATATATATATATATATATATATATATATATATATATATATATATATGTATGTATTACTCAAGCGTTATTTTTAGTGGATACCCTTATTTGAATAGAACGTCCAGTCTTTTAAACCGTGTTTATTTTGTGCCCTCGAGAAAATTTAATTATAATATAAATAAATATACATATATATATTTATTTATATTTATATACTTTCACATATATATATATATATATATATATATATATATATATATATATATATATATATATATATATATAATTATTATTCAATTAGTATTTTGCATAGATTACATTTCTTTATGGTCTGTGAATTTCTCTAAATCATTGAGAAATATACTGGAGTGGTTTTATGTTGATTTTCTACAGTTTTGAATTCAGAAAATAAATTGTCTTAGAATGTTCGTCCCTCAAGGCTAGAGAGACCTGTCTACTCTGTTATTTATTCCATAGTTGTAATGGGGACGGAAGAGATGGATTCATAGCTTTCGAATGGTTGTTTATACAAAAGTGGACGTAACCGAATAGGGTGGAATTTGAACCCGGCTCAATGCTTCCAAGTTTCGAGCCGATAACGGTACCACGCACTTCCACTGGTATTGAATCGAAATGTTTACATTAGCAAATGATTTGTTAGACAGAGCTGCTAACCATCGATTTAAGCTAGACAGATATTGTGATATCGTAGTAAGATTTGAACAAAAAGCTATTTTATTAACTGTTGGAATGGATCAGTTGAACAAGATTCTAATGAAATGATCTTTTTCAAAAGCATAGAAGCCTTTGCTGTTAGAGATGGATAGCTTTATGAAAGGAAATTACTTTATTGAAACTAAATGTTAAATCTGTAACAACTATTAAATAGGTAGACAAAATGACTTATTTCCATTACTGGAATAGCCAATAATTAGAGGCAAAGACATTTCATTGAATTTTAGGCATTAGTTTTCTTTTACTGACCGTGGTGACAGTTTCCACATGTTAGAAATGCAGGCGTGTACAGATGAATATAATATATATATATATATATATATATATATATATGAAGAAATATATATATATTTATATATATATATGAAAATTGCGTCCTGTCGCCTCTTTTAAGGTGTTTCTATATATTATATATATAATATATATATATATATATATATATAGATAGATAGATAGAAAATTGCAGATCCATAGGAATATTAATCGCCTCTGACTGTATATATATATATATCTTATATATATATATATATATATATATATATATATATTGAAAGAAACCGAAAGGACATTGATAACCAAGGACAGATATAGATAGAAAGAAAGACAAAAAAAAAAAAAAAGAAAGTAATGCAGGGATATACAGATGAATATTAATAACCAGAGAGGGAGGGAGGAAGTGAGAGAGAGGATAAAATATTTTAAATATTTATAACTGCTCTGGAAATGCGCAAATAAGCGAAAAACAGCTTAAGTGTGGAATCTTTGCGTGTGCGCAATATAATTCGATTTTATTTTCAGAAAATGGCTTGAACGATATCTCCATATCGATAACTAGATATTAATTAGATTTAATTATTGATTGATTAAAATGTTTGTTGTTTAGACGGTCAATATTTTTGTTTTCTTTTTGTACAGGTCAGAAAGCCTATAGTGCTTGTGCATCTTCTATACGGTGGACAGCTCCTGAGGTGTTACGAAACCCAACTGCCAAAGAGCACGAACAAAAATACAATGTCCTGTGTGACGTCTACTCGTTCGGTGTTTCTATGTGGGAACTGGCACATAACAGAGATCCATATCCTGATGTGGAGACAGAAGAAGAGGTAAGAGTTGCTTGAATCAATCAAGTTTTGCTAATGTGTGATTCACATCAGAAGATCAGCTGTGTGGATAAATGGTAGTATCATTATTTTATTGGAAACTTCAAGAATAAAACGAACTGACTCAAGGATTTAAAATATATAATATATTTATGTTCTTTAGAGTAAAGGGGGAGTTCTTTGCTATTCGGCCTATTCGGCCTAGCAAAAAGTTCGTTAATAAGGCAGATATTGGTGACTGCGAAAGTATAGATAGATAGATAGATAGATAGACAGATAGATAGATAGATAGAAAATAAAATAAGGTAACGACGCTTCGTTTGTTTTTTATTTGTTTGATAAGGTCTTTTGGGCGATAACTTCTTTTGTTGACTTATTTCTCAGTCAGATGAAGCCTACTTTTTATGCCGAAATTGAGTTTCTTCTTTGATGCTTTTTGCTTTGAATTTTTGGTGCGCCTAAAGTTCCGGTGATTTAAATGTGAGTCCACATCAAAAGGATGCATGATCCCATCACGTCAGGAGTTCACTATTCTGTTGTAGACACCATTACAATTATACACAATGTTGGTCGACTTCTAATAACGAGCCACAAGAGAATCATGAAGTTAAATAACATGAAAATATATATATATATATATATTTATATATATATATATATATATATATATATATATATATATATATATATATATATATATAATTAGAGATATTTATTCAACTGATACATACATGTTCGTTTTACTTTCCACCTGGTTGTTAGTCAGAAAGCCACTCGGTACATTTTTACTGCTCAGGGGTCAATAAGAAGGAGAGTTTCTAAATCGTCAGCCAAAACGGAAACGAGGCAGGGATGTCATTGGCTTGTCTATTGACCAGTCAGAGGACTCGTTCCATGTTGGTTACTGTGAAAGAAACCTCTGGATTGGCTATTTCCTTTATTTTTCTAAAAGTAGCTGTTACAAAGCAATCAGATTGGACTACTTTGCCTGAAAAGTTACTGAATTCCTATTAACACCAGTGATATGTAGTCGAGTCCAAATAAAATGTAAACCTGTAAAAGCTGATTTTCAAATTAGACAGACGGTTTGAACAATCTTCCAATATTCTTCCAATTTAACCTTGTGCCACGCTATGCCACACTTTAGCGAATATCACAAATCAGCAATTTTACAGCTTTTCTCTCTATATATCATAATCTATTGCAAATCTTAATCGACTATACTTATTTATTTTATTATCGTTATAATGCAATCTCACCCTATAAATTTCCCTATTCTTGATGTCACACTTTAATTTCTACCTACTGATAATCACTGTGAGTTTGATAGCTAATTCCCAACAAATACACTGTCAATATTTCATCTTACAAATCGTAGGTTAAAATTGTAATGTTTTATGATTAATTGTCAATTTTCATTTTGAAACTTTAATATTTCTTTGCTAAACGAATTCCCCACTTTGCATTCAAGATTCGGCTATTTCAAATCCTTTTAGAAATGGATAAAAATGAGATTTCTGAAATCTTTGAAATTAATATATTGCATAATTTTTCAAGTAGAACATAGGAATTAGATATGTTTTAATTTCATTGAACATGATATTTACCGGCTTGTTAATATCCTTCAGGCAATTTTAAAATTGCAAGTAAAATTTGTTTGTCCATATTTTGTGTATAATTATAATTAGCATTTTGTTTGTAAAATTTTACTACCTCATGTGGCTGAGTATATTTGGCTAAGGGTAAAATTTTAACAAAGTTCGAACAGGGCAGGGTTGTTGAACTTCAAAGGCGTGGTCTTTCGCAACGAGCCATTGCAAATGAAATTGTTCGTAGCAGAACTGTCATCGCTAACTTCATTAAAAAATCCGGATGCATATGCTTCTAAAAAATGAAGAGGTCACCCCAATAAAATCTCACCATTTCTAGACAGACGCATTAAGCGAGAAGCTAAGAGAGATTCAAGCCTAACATCAAATCAGATAAAAGCGAATACAGATGTTGAATGCAGCTCTCTAACAATTCAACGGCATTTAAATAAGAAAGTGTTTAAGAACTTGAAACGGCTGCAGACGCCTCGCCTTCTTCTTTGCCATAAAACCTCCCGTTTACAATTTGCTTCCAATTATTAAACTTGGGATGGGGCTAAATGGAAGAATGTGTTGTTTTGCAGACGAGAAAATTCAGTCTTGATGCCCCAGACGGTTTTCAGCGTAACTGGTATGGGAAAAATGTACTAAAAGAAATTTTCTCAACACGACACAGTAGAGATGAATCAATTATAGTCTGGGGTTCATTTTCATACAGTGGAACTCTTGAGTTACAGGAAGTAAAAGGTCGTCAGACAGCTGCTAGTTACTCTGCCATCTTAAGAAAGGCATCACTAATTACTGAAGGCCCTCATCTATGTGGACAAAACTGGATTTTCAAGCAAGACAATGCTGCAATCCAAAACGCTCTCCAGCTCGAAACCCAATCGAGAATGTTTGAGGATGGATGGCAAAGGATGTTTATAAACATGGATCGCAATTTGAAACTGTGAATGCTCTTCGTGCTGCAGTTTATGCATCCTTGGTGAGCATCGCAAGCACCCTCATGCAGAAGTTAATAATGTGTATGCCAAAGCGAATTTTCGAAGTAATTCGCAAAAAATGGTGGATATACTGAGAATTAAACTGTCCTCGTGACTTATTTGTTGTGTATTTGCTATTTTTGTTTACATGCTCTTATGTTTATGACCAACCAAAAAAAAAAAAAAATCCTTTTTTCAATGTTTGTTTAAATTAATCAATTAAAATCTTAAAATGTTCACTTGATAAACTACATTTTCTAATTAAATGTAAATGTTTCGCAAATATATTTTGATTAAAGTAACAGTATTTTATATTTTTTAATCCTTTTGTATCTGGTTTTAAGATTTTGACCAGGGGTGTGTGAGAGTAGATATCACATGAGAGTTCAGCACTTTTTCTTTATTTTTTTTTTCTGAGGACATTTTTAATACTTTGCTTATTTTTTGGCAGACATCTTTCGCTAATCTGATGCACCTTTGGATTTCTCTGCCATAGTCATTATTGCCTATTACTACACTAGGCAGACAGTATTTTTGATTTTGACGTCGCCATTATTTTCTCTTCTGACTCTTGACAACCATACATTCCGTCTGTTACAGTTATTGGTTACGCTTTTCTTCTTGGTTTCATTAACTACCTTGTCTAATAGTACTTTCTGTACATCTGTACATTGCATGAGTACAATGTCATCTGTGTAGAGCATATATTGTTAAGGTTATGCTCACCGATAATAACTTCTACTAGTTCTTCTAAGCCTCTTAAAATTGCCTCTTTGTATCGACACCGAGAATCGAACACATTCTGAATAATCAATCGCATCAGATTATCAACAAATTGCAACATTGTAGACGTCTTCCAGATTTCAGCAAATCATTTGTTTTATTTAGGTTCTGAGTATACATAAAGGCCATTCAAAACATTCGATGTACTTAAAACTTTAAAGTAATGAGTTTTATATGAATTAGCGAAGAAAGCATTTTTTCGTAGAAGTACCACATATTGGCGCTAAATGCAGTTAGCGACTTGAAATATTTTCCATTAAATTTATATTTAACAATATTGTCTGTATAGATACCCATTAGCGTTTAAATACAGCAAACAGTTTATTTCCTATATATAGATAAATTATAAATTTGGAGTTAAAGTGACGAATTCACATTTTATACGAAGGAAATAATAAAAACAAACATATGTATTCACCAAAACGTTTTAACATCTTTTTGAATTTATCTCTCAATACTCACCAATATCTATCTATCTATCTATCTATCTATCTATCTATCTATCTATCTATCTATCTATCTATCTATCTACAACAGGTTTTCATATGTAAGTGTATACATTTATATGTATCTTCGTTTTAAGAACTCTTATATATCGTACCTATGAACAATAATAGGTATGTCCCAGTCCTCATAAATACCTTGAACACTATTGTAAGTGCGGGTAATATGCTATCTAAGTAGTCCACCACTAGCAGTGGTTTACCTACTTCACGTCGCTAGCGAGTATTGTATTTTGTTGATGATTATAAAGATTGCCGTTTAGTTTCCAACCTCCGTTTTGGTTATTCCTCAATCGGTAACCCTTTCTAGGTTACAAGAACACACTGATGAAACACAACAACTTTCAAAATGACTGGAAGAATCTTGCTTGAGATCCTTCATTTTGGAGGACAGTAGTACAAGATGGTAAGAAATAATCTCATCAGGATCATGTCAAGCATGAAAAGTTCAAGAGACCTGTTTATAGAGGGTCTTGATGTTAATCTCCCTAAGAATGTTCGCCTAGATTTCGATCTAACGTGAAATGAATGTATTCGCGTCTGTCTAAGTAAGGCTAGTCTAAAAAGAAATAATCGAATAATCCGCATGCAGAGAGAAATCATTAACGACACGTTATACAGTATTTCTACACGCAGTGTGGAAAAGAATGTGCCTGTTGGAGGACTAAAACGCCAGATGAAAGTCAGAAAATTTTAACTCTTACTGTAATTTATGTTGCTAAATCTGCAGAAGTGTGTAAGTCCCTAGCAGGACTAAAAGCCATATCCGTTCTGTCTATATCTGAGGATCAATCAAGCGATCGCATTATTCAAAATCGAATCGTAGACATCATGTATGTATCTATCTATTAAGGTTTTATATAAATCTCTTTCTCTCTTTTTCTCCCTGACTATTCATCTCATCCACTTCTTATTCATATATATTTGTGTGTCATATTTATTGCTAAATAAATCTGTCTCAGTGGCTTCACATCTATTTAGCCATAACTCTTATACTGAATGATTTGTTTTATCGTTTATTTTACTTCTTTCAACCATAAAGGAGATATATTAAGACATTCAAGAAATAATATTGGACTCAGTGGGAAAATCTAAGCGCAGTTGAAAGACAGTTGATTGTTGAACAATTTATTGATTAAATCAAGATAACCTGGTTGAAATCCACATCAACGTCTGCAGAATCGAATGGTAATGTTAATATTAGCTTGAAATTTGTAAGATATTTCTCTTAAATTAATCTTTTCAGGAGACATGGTTTCTCAAGTCCAGTAGCTGTTATAGCCCCTTTCCATTGTTGATGCGAGTTTCCTTAACCTTTTATTTGAAGTAGTGTAGAATGCCAACATTTTGATTATGCCATTATTTTTTCTTTTAATTACATGCGATATTCATTTAGCTGAAGTGATATGGTTACTATTGTTTGGTACAATTGTTTGTTTATGATTCTTTAAGCTCACACTCCAAAGGTTCGGAGAAATGAAATCTTCACAAGGATCCATAACCTTCACTCACTCACAGCCAATTTTAATCATTAATCTGAGAAAGCGGTTGTATACAGCTGACAGTTTAGATATTTCGGAATGAATTTGTTGACATGCCTGACATCCATATGAAAGCCTCGATCATGACTCGAGTTTTCAGATTAATGTTTTGGCTTTGTAGCAATTTGCGGTATTGAGCAAAACTAGCTCTAGCGAAACATATTTTATCCTGAATTATCTTATTTCTTATACTAAATTCGTTATAACGGATCCATACACTGAGGTAGTTAAGGTGTTTAGTATTTACTAAATCCATATGCTTAATTTTTATGATGAATTCAGGGCTGATGCCATCATAGCCTTTATTCCAATTCCATGTCATAGGTTCTGTTTTGAAAAGGCATATTTTCGGACAATCTACTGCCAAGATATTTCTTAATAACAGAGGCATTGATAACAGATCCTCAAAAATTATAACGGACTGTCGAGAAATAAAAGAGGATATTTGGGAAGTTTCTTTTATGACCCTACTATTTTCTAATTGTTTATGAAAAATACTGACGGCATATGACATACGTACCGTTATAATCACGAAATTCATTCTTTTGTATAGATTATTGCGAATTATAGATTCGTATTCTTACGTTAGGCCCCATATATGTAGCGAAAAAGAGAAGTAAAACTTCCAAACCTCAAACAAGTTTTATATGCTACATTTTGCTACTTGTAAAATCCTGAGTAGATGCATCTCTAAAAATCATTATAATTAATGCCTGCGGTTATTAAACAGTTTCAAAAGAAAAACCCTTGCTTTGAGAGATTCATTCACTAAGCCAATGTAACATGGGGGAAAAACATGCTCAATCAGCAATCTGATATAACAAAACAAAGAAACTAAAAGAAACCGGTTTCATTTCCTTGTATTATTTACATACGGACTAATATCCTAATCGTTGTTATTATCATAAACTGAAAGCTGCTGTGTCCTTCGGCCTTTTTTAGGGGTTAGTCGAGTAACCTTTGGGTATCAACTGGGTAACCTTTAGGCAATTTCGAGATGAACACTTTATTCAATCTACGATGATAAATTGTTCTAGTTCCACTCTCAATGTTATGCGACATCGCGTCTGTTCAGCTATTGTAAACCCCGTTTTCATAATTTAAGTACGTAGTATCTGACCTAGGGTTTGACCTTACAAATACTATGCCGTCCAGATAACGAAACAACGCTTTAATTTTCTAGAATTCAATTTCTCAGTCTTAGTGAAGCAGTCTTAAAAGTACTAAAAACTGATCAGTACTAAAAAGTGAGCATTACTAAAAACTGAGCAGTATTAAATGTATGAAAACTGAACAGTACTAAAAATGCTAAAAAAATAAGCAAGACTAAAAGTAGCAAACCGAACAGTATTAAAAGTACTACAATAAAGAACATGACGAAATATCCATACTGAAGGACAACGAAAAAAATCTGCAGCCGTAAATTAAATGAAAAGTTTAGTTCAAAATTCCTTGACGATCACTCGGATCAGAAGATACAACAGTCAAAACGTGATAATAACAGCAAAAAAAAAAAGAGGATATTAGTCCGAATAGCGTAATGATAAATCTTCTTCCTAAAGATTCAGACAGGTTTCATTTAGCTTCGAGAAAAGTCTATTTTGTTACTATTTAAACAGTTTGTTTCACTACAGAATTTTTTTTTTTAAATCTGGTTTGAAATAAGAACTTACTTTTCTCCGAATGGTAAGTCTCATCTCTCTGTTCTCTAAAATACATGCAGGTGTAAACGTACCAGAATTATGTATGCGATGAATTGGTGCAAATACAATTAAGGAAATAAAAATCTATGATAAAAAAGAGGGTCATTCCTTTCAGATACAGGATAGTATTATAAACTGTGTGATCTATCAATCGATTTCCGTTCCTTGGACAATCACAGAACTCAATGACAAGTTGTTGGAAAGGTTATTTTGTACTGAATATCTTATGTTGTAGCATTAATAATACTATTAGTAATATTAGTATTAATAGTAATCATTTTAGTAGTAATGGTAATGATGAGAGTAAAAACATATAAGCACGCAGAAAATGGATAAAATCCAAGAAGTTAGGCTTCTAGAAGTAAGGTTAGCTAATTAAATGTTTCAGTTTATGAATATTGATATCCAGATTTTATCAAAAGGTACATTAGAGAAATGTGTTTTAATGTTTGATCTGGTTATATGTCTACGATTCCTTATTAGGATGTTTTATTTGGCACATAATATGAATATTTTTGCTGAGCGGCACTTTGAAAAAATGTATAAAAAGTTAATAAGTAAGTTAGTAAAAAAACGAAATCTCATTGATTTCTGTGCTTATAAGAATTCTTATAATAAAAATGAATGTGATAAGAAAATGAGAAGCGCTAAAACTATCGTGAAAGTATGAAAGAAGAAAAAAAATTATATATAAAAAGACATATTTTAAGTAAAAACAGGAAGAAAAATAAAAGACAGAAGAAAAACGAAGAAAAAGACGAAAGTAAGAATAGGAGGGGGAAGAAAAGAAAGGGGAGAGATAAAAGAAATAAGAGAGAAAAAAAAACAGAAAAAAGAAAGACGAAAAGAAAAAGAAAGTTGGAGAAAACATGAAGGAAAAGTATGAGAAAGAAGAAAGAAAAGAATGTAGAAAGAATGTAGGAAGAAAAAAGAGGAAAGAAAAAAGAGAAAGCAAAGAGAAAATAGAAAAGTGAGAAAAGAAAAAGAAGAAATGAAATAAGAAAGAAAAGGGAGAAAAGAAAAAAGAAGAAAGAAGACGAAGGAGTAAAGAAAGAAATGAAAGGTAGAGAAAAATGAAAAGCGAAATGATAGAAAATTAATACGAAAGGAAACAAAGAAGAGAGACAAGACAGAAAAGAAAGGAAAAAAAAGATAAAAGATAGATAGACTATAGAACCCCCCCCCCACAAAAACAAGTAAATGATATTCACTGCTTGGATGACAACATTGCTGACTAAAGAAGTAAACGATAAAAGAAAAGTGGCAAGATAGAAAATATCTTTCGCGAAAATGGTCCAGATATTTTCCATGACGGTGATGGTTGCAGGATTCCTTAGAGGTGTGCATGGGACAGTCTTGAAGAATTTTGAAAACAGAAGTTTCAGGAGTCGATGAAGAATTGATATTATTCAATAGACAGCAAGAAGGATTTGATGCATTGAGCATACTTCATTTCCAAACAAAGCTATCGGCTACAAGTCGTGTGAGAATTTAACATAGACAAACTACCAATAATAATAATCGGAGACGTTTGCATATTTAAAGAAGACTTACGGCCACTCGATCCTCAACCACTAGATACCGTTGCTATGTAAATGTAGATGATATTTTCCATCCCAATGTGAATATTGCTTTATTGTTGTCTTTTTACAACAACAATTGCGGCACAAGGCCAAATGGGGAAGTGAGGTCGGTCTGGTCAACATTTTCTATCCTAGACCTAGCTAAACAGATTCATAACCCATTCATTCATTACAATTAGCTCATTTACCACAAGAACATATCCATCACCACCCAAGGCTACATGCCTACATAGAGTTCGTATCGCAAGATTC